GGGATGGTCTCCGGGCGCGGGGGGCGGGTCCAGCCCCCTCCCACAGCCCCCTGGAAAGCTGCAGAGCCTCGGCCCAGAGCAATGGAGCTGCTCCTTCCCTGCATGGAGCACATCAAGGGGGTGTCTTACGCTGACGGCAAGGTCCTTGCTTCCCACAGCCGGGAGACGGCGGCAGGAACGGGGGGAGAGAGCCCCCATGCCCCTTGCGTTTCAGTGGATCTCTTTAAACATCTCCAAGCCCCCGAGCAAGCCAGTGGGCCAAAAGCAGCCAGCACCCCACAGCAGCCTTTGCTTTCCCAGCAAAGCAGCCTCCCCCGGCATTTTTTCTCTCTCTTGCACAGATGTGATGCTGGGAGATTATGCTGTAGATTAAGGTTTTACTGAATCCTGAAATGAGTGCAAATTCCCAGAAGCTCTAACATGTGGCCAAATCTCTTCTGGATGCTCGGCTGGATGGGGGAAGAGGCATTTCCTACCCCGTCCTCCCCATGTGCAGGAAAGACGAGACCAAATATTCACCCCAGCTTGTCTGCTGAGAGCCTCCAGGTAAGCACAGTGTTGTTTTGGGACAGAAAGATGGGGAGGCGTCTGTTGTAATGGCTAAAACTCCAGGGGATCCATCTTTTCTGCTCTGAGATGTGCTCGGGGTCGCTCCAGGTGGCAGAGGCTCTGACTGCACGGCATCCCTGGACCAGGGGGATGGTACCCACCTGCGTGCAGGGGTGACTCCTGCCGGAGCGGAGGGCCCCGCCCCCCCGCCTGTGACCCCGAGCAGGTCCCAGGGTCCAGAGCTCTGCCGCGGACTCACGCCGCTGCTGGCCATAGCAGCGCTGATGCATGGTCCTTCTGCAGCCGTGGGACCCCCCGGCAGAGAAAAATCAACCCTGGGGCTGCATCACCTCTCGGGGCGAGGGTCCTTCCAGCCCGGAGCGTTGTGTGGGTACACTTTGCTGGGCTGTGCAAAGGGCTCACATGCAGAAGGGTGAATTTTTTTTACAGCGATTTCTTAACCGCGTTAAATTTTAACGCCGAGGAGGTGGAGGAGGGAGGTTTCCTGCAGTTAGGCGGCCGGGGGTTGCATGTGTGCGGCCAAAAGGGTGGTAGGCGCTTTCTCCCCGAACAAAAGGGCGCTTGTCTTGCGGCGGGCAAGAGGAGGGTTTTTTTTTCCGGCAAGGGTGCGTGACAGCGAGGGAGGGGGTGGTGGTGCTGATGTGGCACCCGGAGAGGTAAGGGAGCACCTCTCCTGCCCGCGGGATGAGCAGGCGCTTCCTCCTCTGCCCCGGGGAATCCCGGGGGGGTGCGGGGCCGAGGCGTGACGTGGCGGCTTCCGAGGTGAGTCTGGCTGCACCTACACCCAAGAACCATCCCGGAGGTTTTTCTGCTGGTCCTGCTGTCAGCTTCCCAGCCTCGCCGCTGGAGACGATGAGTCCCATGCCGCAGGGACGCCGAGGTACCCCTGCGGGGCTGGGGAGGGGCGTGCCCACCTCCT